AAAAAAAAGGAGTAGGGTCAACCTTATGTGTTGTGATCCCCAGACAGATCCAAACAACTACACAGACATCCCTGAGCCCAGATAGATGGTTTGGACCTCTGCCAGCCGATGCGCGAGTCCCTGGTTATCCGGATTTTTTTTCCCCCGATTGGCGTCCCGTGGTTGTCCCCCCCCCCCCCACCCCCCACCCCACCCAGCCACCCGAACAGCTGGGGGCATATTAACCGTTCCCTTTTTTTAAGTTTTTTAACAAGGCGGCGGCTGAATGCTCTAGTAGACTAGTAGTGTACACTGATGCCTTTTTCTTTAGGCAGCAGCAGTGGCAGTTGTTGTTGCATGCCGAGGGTTAGTGAGTACAGACTCGACGTTTGTGAAGCCTGCTTTCTGCAGTTCGCTTTTGCAATCGAACAGGAAATGCTCGTCGAGGAACGGCTCCATTGACTTTATAAGTACAGCAATAGGCAGAGGAATCTGATGGTAATGCTTTGACTTGGGTGATATATCAATGATAGCGATCGTTCCTCCCGGTCGCAGAAGTCTCCGAGCTTCGCTAAAAATCGACTGCTTAATATGCAGAGGCAGCTCATGAACTACGTAAGAGAGGCTCACGATATCGAAGGAGCGGCTCGGCAAGCCACTATCTTCAGCCAATGCATGCATCCAACGGATAGGCTTGGATCTCGCCTTCCCGGCTTGGGCAGCCTGTTTCTGTCTGTAACTGGCGACGGCGAGGAAATGTGGCGACGCGTCAAGACCCGTGACCTGAGCATCTGGAAACGCATCTGCCAGCGCATTAGCGCTGAGGCCAATTGAGCAGCCGATATCGAGGATGTCGGTCACAGGTCCCTTCGGCCCGTACCGGTCGAGGTGATTCTTCACCGCAAGGATCCAGTACCTTTTCTGCAGTTCCTCGCACTCTATTGGTGACGTTGTCGGCATGACTGTTTTGAACGCCCGCTTCGCCACCATCAGATTTGCCGGCTCGATTTCGAATGCCGCCTTCCAGCAGAGGTTGGATTCCTTGTATCCGTGGAAAGGCTTGAGGTAATATTCAGGGTAAGTGATGGATTTGTTCTCGACCAGATCCATCTCGTCGTACACCGTTGATTGTTCCAATGAGCTGACCAATTCACGCCATGGAATTCCACTCTCTTCAGCGAACCTCATGAAGTATCCCCGAGCTGCATCTCGGACTGCATGGAAAATGGGCGACAAAGCAAGGGCAATGTTTGTAGCACGGCTAAATGTGCGACCAGCCCATGCCGGATGGTCGAGATCAGCTTCCTCAAAGAGGGGTATCTGTGAGGGAATGGTTGGATTATCAGCCGCTGCTGTGGAAGTGGGAGAAGAGGTATAGCTGCTGCTGCTGCTCTTTGCTTGAACTGCCGATGGCCGTAGGCGGCAGCTGTTCGCATCAACTGAGTGATGATGAAACCACATATTAGGCCCCGTGCCTCTGCAAGTACCCTTTATGTGGGTTGGCACTTTCCTCCCCGGAAAACTGCTGCGTCCAAGCAAGGATGGCGGCGGCGACGACACGCTCTGCCACCTGTCCTGCCGCCTGGAAAACTGGTGAAACTGCTGATGTGGTCGTTCGCATCCAGAGGTGGGTGCAGAGCGGTCGGCGCTACGAGAGCAAGTGGAAGCACTGCACTGAGCTTCATCCGGCAGGGTGTCCCTACCACAGGCTTGGCTGTTGCAGCCTCGGAGTACAGGGCCAGGAATCCGACAAGGTGATGCCATCCCTTTTGGGTGCCAGAATAGTGCCACCCAATATGATGCTTCTGATCAAATCAACGGCAGGGAGGCTTTGTCACGTAATGTCAATGTACTTCACGGCACAGCTGCATATCCTTCATGTGGGCATGTGTTACCTGCATTGGATTTCAGAAACAGCAGGCTTCCCTTCATCAGCATCAGCATTAGCAGCAGAGGCGGCAGCAGCATTACAACAACAACAACAACAACAACAACAACAACAACAAGGACAAGAAAGGAGGAGGAAAAGAGGAGATGCCCCTGCATCAGCATTGGCAGGAGCGGCAGCAGCAGCAGCAGCAGAAGAAGAAGACGCTGCCCTTCGACGGCATTAGCAGCAGCAGAGTGACAACAAAAACAACAAGGAGAAGAAGGAAGAAGAAGAAGAGGAGGTGACCCTTCATCAGCATTACCAGAAGCAGCAGCAGCAGCAGCAGCAGCTGAGTGACAACATAAACAACAAGGAGAAGCAAAAAGAAGTAGGAGAAGAGGTGGTGGCCCTTCAGTAGCAGCAGCAGCAGCAAGAAGAAGGAGAAGCAGAAAGGAGGAGGAGAAGAGGAGGCGTTCCTTCATCAGGATTAGCAGCAGCAGCAGCAGCAGCAGCAGTATGACAATAAGAAGAACGATGAGAAGAACAAAGGAGGAGAAGAGGACGCAGCCCTTCATCAGCATTAGCGCAGCTGCAGCACCAGAATGACAACAACAACAACAACAACAAGAACAAGAAGGAGAAGGAGAGAGAAGAACGAGAAGAAGAGGCTTCCCTTCATCATCATCATCAGCAGCAGCAACAGCAGAAGCAGCAGCAGCAGCAGCAGAAGAAGAAGAAGAAGAGAAAGAAGTGGAAGAAGAGAAGATTCTGAAGACGAATGGTCACGGCCAAAACAAGCAGAAGAAGAAAGAAGAAGAAGGAGAAGAATATCTTTCTACATCACAAACCAAAGGTGTCCCCTCTATGATGAACAACTGCGTTCATCATACAGGCAACTTGCGTCCACTCTTGCGTTCATCATACTCTTGCGTCATGTGGGCATAGCTGACACTCTTGCGGAGTGTCAGGCTGTCAGCTATGACGGAGCACACACAAACAGCTGAGTGTTTGGGTCGGACCGAGCACGCACATACCTGACCCTCTTTGTATGCCCACTTGTATACCCTGACACTCCGCAAGTGCTGAGTGTCTGGGTCGGACGGAGCACGCACATACAGGCGACTTGGGTCCACTCTTGCAGAGTGTCAGGTATGTGCGTGCTCCGTCCGACCCAGACACTCAGCACAGTCATGGATGGAGTCGGATGGACCCAAGTAGGATGCCAAAGATCTCATCCCAGATCGTCAACGGAGCAGGGAGAGAGCAACACAGGACGATTTTGACGACAGCGCAGTAGCGGAAGAAGCCGCAATGATAGGGCAGAAACCAACAGCAGAACGGACTCTGACAAACAGACTAGGGATACCGGAGAGAGAGAGGCAATTAAAATGGTAAATTGTACTAAACCCACCATTACTGCATCAACCCATATCCATAAGAAGGTTGGACAACCATCCCCCTCCCTCCCCCTCCCTCCCCCTCCCTCCCCCTATCTGCTCAGCTTTCCTCCTCAGACTTTCCAAAGCTCCTGATATGGTGGAGGCTATGGCCTTCGAGGCTTCTACCTGATTAAGCAACACCAAAAGACTTAGTCGGAGAGAATACGACTAAGTCATTAAGCAACACCAAAAGACTTAGTCGGAGAGAATACGATCACGTCAGAGTCTCTCTCTCTCTCTCTCTCTCTCTCTCTCTCTCTCTCTCTCTCTCTCTCTCTCTCTCTCTCTCTCTCGCTCGCTCGCTCGCTCTCGCTCTGTGTGCTCTCTCTCTCTCTCTCTCTCTCTCTCTCTCTCTCTCTCTCTCTCTCTCTCTCTCTCTCTCTCTCTCTCTCTCTCTCTCTCTCTCTCCTCCTCTCGGGAGTTTCCTGAAGCTCAACAGAGGAGTGGGTAGAGGGGAACGATGAAGAGAAAAGCAATGGAAGTTGGGCGAGGAGTAGTAGTAGTCAAGCTCCGAGAACTCTGGACCAAACAAGGACAGCGAAAAGACTACCTTCTTCAACCCAATACAACCTACTGTCATTATTGTAGCTGCTGTATTTGGGCTATCTTACAGTCTAAATACAGCAATAATGATTGTACGTTGTATTCAGGTGAAGAAGGTATTACCGCGGAACAAATGTGAGTCATCCCTTGAAGCAATATGTAGAGGAACATGCGAATAGTCCAACAAGCAGGAACTGGACATCACAGTGATGTCAGCGCACACGACGGACGACAACAACATCCATGGATGCATGCATGCTATGATGACCCCAAAGCTCCTCAACTACAACACCCACTCACGACATAGACAAATCAAAGGAGGGGACATGAATGAAACACAGACATCAACGAAAGGATCGGCCTGGGGGCCAAGACACAGGAACTGGACATGAACTGCAACAGGTCCGACACTCATCGTCTGATGTGGCTGCAGCGCTCGCAGCCTACGTTCGATCCCTGCAAGCACAAAGGGATCTGTATCTAGAGGTACAGCTGCCGTCTTCCCCTGCATGGAATGTACGCCGGTCATTTTCATCACTGTATCTAGACTAAAAGTTGGCCAGGATACATATATTATAATTATGACCGTATGTTCTATTCAAGGAAAGAAACTTGGTCAAAGACTATAGCATGGTGGCGATGAATAGACCCACTTCCAAGGTATGATACTCAGATCATACTCCAACTGAATGGCCCTAGAAAAAATGGGTACATCCTTTCTTACCTCTCAGATTACTAGGAATGTGACAGAACTAACATCAAGGGTGGTCATCCCATCACAACGGCGCGATTGCTATCACCTATGCTGAAGAGGATGCAATGCTCGCAAAGTGTGTACACATCGATCCTGATTCCTAGGGCGTGCTGTGGCGCTCGACAACTCACTCCTGGACATGGTAAATGGTACTAAGCCCACCAGTACACTCAGGGCCTGGAGGCGCTGCACTGCGCACCGGGCTTTTCCAAACTGCAAGCAGCGCACTTTTTGCTTTTTTTTCGCTGGCGCTGCCAGGCTGTGCCAGCCATTGTGCTCCGGTGGGCCCGAGGCGCAAACTTTTCGGAGTAGGCAACGAAGGAATTTCCACAAGGCTTGGGCCGCGCACTGACGGTTTATATCCCCCCCCCAAAAAAAAAAAACATGTCAGCCATGTCAGGGCGTGTTTGGCTATTTAATACTCACCAACTGGTGCCAAGAAGTTGGAAACAGCGATCAAGATGCTGGAAGTGGTGTGCAGGCGGAGAAGCTAGACTCAGCGGTACTCCTCCTCGACCTAGAGAAGGCATACGATAAGGTCGGGTGGACATTTGTACTGACGACGCTGAGAAGAATGGGCTTCGGAAGGGCTTTTTGCACCTGGGTAGTGACAATGTATATACACGTTCTCCACATAGTCGGTCCCAGTCAGCGGGCACTTATCCAACCCCTTTAAGCTGTCCCGGTCCCTCAGACGGGGATGCATGCCCCTTGGCCCCACTGCTGTTTGTGCTACAACTGGAAGTACTCCTGAACAGAATCAGAAGGCATCCACAAATCAAAGGCCTACACCTGCATGACGGCTCAGAGTGCGGGGTGAAGGCATTGGCGGATGACCTGATATTCGCCGTGTGTGAAAATTCGGAGCAAGCCCGGCATTGGCGGATGACCTATTCGCCGAGTCGGACGCGCTGCGTGTGGAAATTCGGCGCAATCCCTATCAGCGAGCGCCGAGCGCTAAAGGACACACTGATGGAGTACGCATCGCTGTCAGAAGCCAGAGTTACCTGGAAGTACTCCTGAAGTACTCCCAAATAAGTCAACGTTACCTGGAAGTACTCCTGAAGAGAATCAGAAGGCATCCACAAGTCAACGGCCACAAGAGTTTGAACTGAGGGGGGTTGAATGGGGAATGAAGAGGGTAGAAGAGGGGGAAGAAGAACACGCTTCCTCAGGGTGCTTCCGGTTAGTCGGCAAGCGGAATCAATTGCACAGGGTCTGGTTCTGCAGCAAAGAAGTACTGCCAGACTGAACATATGGGGAGTGGCGTGGCATCTGTCAATCATCGGTTGGCCCTCTTCGTCTCGAACGCGGCACTCCTGTCCATCATTTGGTTCGTGTCCACCGTGAGGGACATCATAGAGCCTGAGGATTCATGAGGGCAATCAGGAGACTCGTAGCCAGGTTCCTTTGGAAGCCAAGGTCCAAGAGCGCAGAGGGCTTTGTATAGTTAAAGTGGTGTGGGAGGTACTTACCTTCTCGAGGGAGGAAGGAGGTCTGGGCCCGACGGACCTCACAAGGAAAACTGTCACTTACCTTCTTGAGGGAGGAAGGAGGTCTGGGCCTGACAGACCTCGCAAGGAAAAATCAGGCCCAACTATGTAACTGGATCTGCAGAGTAGCAAGGGCCAGCTCAAAAGACCACTGGATCACATTGGGAGAACGGATCTTGATGAGGGAATGGGAGATGTCGAGGCCAGAGAGATGTGCCAGTGTGTGCCTGCTTCTTCATGCAATCGTTTACAAAAACAGGAATCAAGTCAAGATTTTGGAATGCGTTAAACAATGCATTGGAAAAAGCCGGGGCCCCGGATGTCCGAAAAAAAGAGCCAACAACAAATTTAAAGAGGATGTGCTCACACAGTTTGCTCTTCGACAACCCTCGGATTAAGAACGAGAATGGGAATCCCTTCCCTTTGCTGCAGACGGAACCGCGGCATCCTCCGAACTAACCTGGGTAAGGAGAGGAAAAATAGTGTGCATCCGAGATCTCTCGTCAGCGATCCTATAGGGCCTCGGGGGATAGAGACCGCTGGCGGAAATCAGAACCAAACTGTTTGGACTTCTTGACCGCGTGGAAGAACGCCGGACGGAGATCGTTCAGGCCATCCCTGAGGAGAGTGGCAACCAACACCTGCTGGGTTCAGAAGGGTTTGGACCCAGCAGGAAGTTCAAAGTGGTATGTTGCGGCAGAGGAGGAACAGGTTCGAACAACGGTCAACAACCCAATGTTGTATGGAGGTACTGGAGATCCTTCCTTCCCAGCGGTTTCCACAGAGTGGAAAGATG